ATGTAAGAGATAAAAACAGGAAAAAGAATCTGCAACGACCCAGATTCTGCATAGAACAAAATATACATCTGCGCTTCATTACAATCATACTCCAAACACTACATTTCCTTTATGTTTAAATTATTTGTCTTTTTCGATCAAAATTGATTCCCCTTTTCCATAGTCAGTCGTTTCATCTGCCTTACTTTAGTTTCCACCAGTAAAATAACTCGGCTATGCTGCCAACTGGAAGTAATGAAAATTGTCAACATATGATGCTTATCTTTTTTTTAAGGAGCTTTCAGCTGCACCAGCATTTTTAAAGTTTCCTGAAAGTTTCCTGCTGGAGTTTTTATAGTGGATCATGGTAGCAGCAAATTACAGAGCAAATGGTCATTCACTTCAATTATCTTCCATTCAGCATCATCAGCCATGACATGCAATTAATGTCTACGGAGAGCTCCTCCTGGAAATTGAACCCCATAATAATGTACCTAAACTCATATTCTGGGACGGTGAAGAGGCCTCCTCCTCATTCCTGTCTAAATAACTGTAGTATTTAGGTTCCTGACGAGGATGCCACACAATTTGTAACTCACTGGGCAGAAGACAAAAGCATTCAGCTCCTAATAAGAATCAGATTATTTTAATAAGAGGAGAATTTCTGTAGCCATTATTTCGCAGCTGTGGCCCTGGCTTAGATGTCGCACACACACATGAGCAAAAACACACATTTGAGAAAATCAATAAGCGGAAGCTGTCAAATGCTAAATCACAGAAATGCACTGCTTTTTAACTCTATTGTTTCCATGTGAAATCACTTCACATTTACATTGGTCTTTCAGTTATTAAGCCTGTATTTTGTCTTTCCATTTTGAGCCTCATACAAACACATCTTGTAAATGTTACCAGCTGCTTGAACTGTGCCTTCCTCCTCCTCCTCCTCACCAGTGTGGACAGTGACTGTGGCTCCCAGGCTCCCTCTGATCACTTGGTTTCTCCAATGGCACTGGCAGCCTGCACCCGCGTAGACTCCTGCTTTGCACCTTGGTTCGTCTCCTCTCTGGGAATGTCTCTGCAACTGGCACAGCTTGAAGTTCACCTCTGCCACCACCTGGATCAGCTGGGTACTGGTATGTGTGATTCCATGGATCAGCAGATTACCAGGGCGTTATCTTTGTCATTGAGGTTTTCACTGGTTTGAGAACAAACTAATCTTGATTTGTAAAGTTGGGAACAGAGCAGCAGAAATAAAACACAATAAAGCAAAAGTTTACTTCTCTGTTCCAGAATTGGAAACACAACAACAGAGGTAATTATTTTTTACTTAAAACAGTTTGACTAGCAGGTAAATACCTCCTCTCCCTTTAACAGTTGTATAAAAGTGAACGTGTTTTCCTGATTCAAGTATTTCTCCTTTTTTTTATTGGTTCTGATCATCTGATACTCTTTACTAAAACACCATATGTATCTATCTTCCAGTTCCATCCCAGCAACTTCGCCCCTTCCTACCAGACAGGAAGTTACCACAGGAGCAGGAATTCATGGTGGTTGGTTCTCGGGAGCCCAGAGTTTACTTACGGCAATGGAGCAACGGACTATGTCATAGTCAGGAAGTCAACTTTTCTACACAGCTGGACTGCAGGCTGCTGGAATACAGAAACCTAACAATTATTCAGCTTCTCCAGCCTTGTTTACTACAGGTAGAGCAGAACTACATTTTTATGGTGTTTTTGTTTTCCAGATGTGAATATTCAAGCATTTTTATTTCAAGTGATTGAAATTTTTCACTAACATTTCATTACCTTGTATCCTCAGGGCCAAGCAACAGCCACCTTCACCCCTGAGAACACAACACTGGATGTCAACATGTTCGTGGACCCAGTTCTCCTCACTTTCAGCCAATATACCATCCACACTGTGGACACCGCCCTACAGAGCTGGCAACAGGTGACAACAAATCCAATCTTTTGAAGGCCTGACAAATTAACTAAAACGATTTTATAAACTTTTATTAATGAATCTGAAGATAGGCTCATATTCCTTTGAGAGAATATTATTGTTAGAGTAAATGCTGTAAAAGATCTTTATTTAAGTTTTATCAAAATGTGAAACTTCCACATTGATGAATTATTTCCTCAGTACCTGGGTGAACCACATTTTGAAGTTTAGCTTCAATGAAAAGGTTGGAGCTGTTGAATTACAGTGGCCTTGTAAAAATGCGAAAATGGTGATCCATCGCATTGACTTCTTTCTACAAAGAAAAAATAAATACATTTAGGTTAAGAAGATTTTAGTTAAGAAAAACAATTCAGTTTTTTGGTTTGACCAGTAAAAATACATTTTGATTTTTGCAACATATATTTAGATTTAGAATAATATATGATAAATATTTCCCAGTTATGAAGGTGTGTCAGTATTACATTTAAATAGATGAAAGAATTTAGTAGAAGATTTGGGTCCGGCGGGTTTCAGGTTCAAGTCCAGCAGCTGCCAAGTTACCACTGAGGTGCTCTGAGCATGGCATCGTCCCCACACACTGCTCGCCGTGCGCTTAAGCTACCCCCTGCTCACTTTAGTGATGGGTAAAATGCAGAGGTCACATTTGGTTGTGTGCAGTGGTGTGCTGTGTCACAATGACAAATAATGCACTTTCCTTCCTTTCCTTTGATTTATATCAAGGGCTCGTCCCTGATTTAGCATCAGCTAAAACACAGAAGATTTTATGAGAACAGTTTTTGGTTACAGACCAGTGTTAACAAAAGATGGCCCTGCTATAAACTCTGGCTATGAGTCTACGGTGTCTCTTGTTTTCATGGTGTCTCCCGGCCTGGTCTTCTCAGCTCCTAGCTCTCCGCACACCCTCTGGTAGCCAGCATATTTGTGTGTGAAGTGATGCCCATAAAAATGGTAAAACTTGAGTGCTTACACCTGCCAGGATTCCATCCACCCACTTGTATGCCGCACACACACACACACACACACACACACACACACACGCTGACACAGTGGCCTCTCTGGCATTATGAGCTCCATCATGGCTATGCTCAGTTCAGCTGTGGCTGTGCTGACTCATATATTGGCCTCTGGAGACATGAGCTACTCTCATGGTTTTACGTCCGTCTCTGCCAGGTGAGGGAAATAATAGCTGGTGTTTTTGCAGAAACAGCTGTGGGTTTTTACCTGTGAAAAATAAAATTAAACACACTGTGCTGAAAGTCTTTATAAAATGATTGCTCTGGCTGAAGTAGGCTCATACTACCTCAATGGTACTGACTCATCAAACACCGCCCATGTTGGATGATGGGTCATTCACTTGACCCTCGACTCCAGCATTGCATCATTTAACACAAGCATGAGAGTGTTTCCCATTTATTCTGATTAGGTTAGCCATAAATAAAAACCTTGGGCTAACTTTCTGTTGTCAAGAAAGGTCATAGTGCAGCTTCATTAAATATTTTGTCTCAAATTGTGCATCAGAGGTATCCATGGATTATATTTACAGACCAGATTTCAAGATTTTCTGAAAAGTTAATCAAACTTACAGTGAGTGCTGTACTGCACAGTAATTGTTGTTTAATTTAAAAGAAAATAATTTATTTGTGTTACTGGAGAAATAATGAAAGCTCTTGCAAAGTACTATTTTCCATTAATATCCTTTAATAACTATGGCTGCTTAACAGTGACATTTCCTTCAGTAGTTGTTGGATAAAAAAAAAAACAGGCTGTTTAAACTTTTCTGCTCATCTTTTTAACATGTATATGTCTGATTAATAAAATGATCAGGTCTGGTGGATTTTCTGAATTGAACTGAGCAGCAGCAGCAGCTACATCACTTGTTCCAAACCTTTAATCTAACATCAGCTTTTACCACTTTTCCAAACACAAGGCTAAAAAACACACAATAATTGTGAAGCAATTGTACTGCGTGTGGCAGTGGTTGTTCTGCAGTGAAGGGTAGATAAAGGTTAAGTGCAAAAGGGTGGTTCTTTTTTAAACCTTTCCCTCACTATCTGGGTCACTTCAGCAGAAGTAGTGAACATTCCAATTGTGGAAAATGTTGTTTCCACTTTTGGTGTTTTCACTGAAACAAAATCATGTTGTGGTGAAGCTTGTGTGAGTGCAATTAAGCTCAAATGCCTAGTGGTGTAGGGGTGGCTGTGAAGGCCAGGCAGCATTTAGCTAAGATGAAATCTTTGATGTGATGGAGGCTTACATTCCACACACTCATGCACAAATTGTCCGTGCAGAGATGTACTTGATCCCAATTCAGAACATAATGAGAAATGTTAACAGGCCCAGTCCTCCTGAAACAGAAGGATGCAGCTCTACATGTGTAATAGTTTCAGTGATTTTCCTGTTTCCTGGTGTCATGGCTTGCAGACGCCTGTTGTGATGTGGCCTGCAGGGTCGGCATTAAACTGTGGAAAAGAATCCTCATCGCCCACACAACTGGAACCTCAGAATCTAGGCTTGGTCATACCAGACCACCACAAACAGACCGGTTGGAGTACACTCAGAAGAACAGCACACAACAGAACTGAGACCTCCTGGTTCAACTTGTACTCTAATAGTTAAAGTTTTTATTATTATTTTTAATTTCTAAAATGTGGTTCGCCTGAAAAACTTGTTTTTTGAAATTAAAAAAAATAATAATATTTTTTTGGAAGTGAAGCTAAGGTGCAGTTATTATGCTGCCAATTCCAGCTAATATTTTTCAAATTTTAAATAAAAGTGCACTTTGTGGGATTTATGTGTTAAGCTCAGAAAGTCAGATCCAGTCACATGGACGTCAGAGACACTTTGAGTCAAATTCTATTGGCAGGTGTGAACTACTTAACACATCAACTGTAAAAAAAGTTTTTTGTCTCATTTAGCGTCACTTATACTTTGGAAACTGAAAGAAGATTGAGGAAGATTTATTTTATATTTTATGGTTTCTTCTTGGAAAAGAGGATGGGAATTATTGATGGATATAACTCATGGTTGTATTAATATTCGTTTTCTTTGCACTCAATAACCCCTCATATCCAAAACCTCAGCCCCCAACAACCGCCTTAACCTCAGGGCTTCCATTTTCACTTATAGACCCCAGACCCACTTTCAATACTTGCCCCCTCCCCACAACCCATAGCTACCAACACTGGGGAAGTGGCTTTGGTAAAAAAAAAAAAAACCCACACAAAAGCCCAGTAGTATTTATACGCTCTTTCTCACAGAGAATTCTTAGGCTGAAATTTTCCTCTTGAAATTTTTTTCTCTGCTGAGTTCTTTCCATGTTTAAATGATTCCCTTTTTCTCTTTGCAGAGGAAGTGACAGTATGTTCCGGCTTAAAGCAGATGTGTGTAAGGGTCAGATTTAGAGCAATATAAAATTTGTTTTTAGACAATTTGTATCCCTTTTCCAAGTGAATTCTTTTCACAATCTGGGTTCCAGGCATTTTTCCCAGGATGCTTACATTTCAACTTCAAAGACTGTCACCTTCTAGCCTTTTAAATACACTGGTCCCTAAATGTTTTCATATGATGCCTCACAAAAAACAGCTACGCTCAAGATTACTGCAGGAAGCTCGTCTGATGAGTGTATCTCGTTGCCTCATGAATGGAAGCAGGAGGACAAACCCATCGGAGTGGATTGAGCAATAACATGTTAGGATGGCAGCAGGAAGTATGTAAATCACAGCGTTGAAATCAGTTGGGAGCATAGGCACTGTTGCCCTATTAAAATTTGGAAAAGGGTTCCAGCCCATTGTTTTGCAGCTGTCCTATCCATATTTTGTTCTCCACCCCCTTCTCACACACATCTATCAACAAGTTTTTAACAGTGTAAACTATCCCATCCGTTTTCAATAGCATCCACAACCTCTGGACCCCGAACGTGCTTGGCAGTCAAAATCTGGAGTTTTACTGCCAACCATCAACCATCCACCCCCACCCGCTGCCATTTATAAGTACACAACAGCCTGATGTCCTTTATTGTTTGGGTTGTTGAGTGGTTACTGAGAAGATGTCTGAACCTCAGTCATGTGTATCAGTCGGACGGGGGTTCTCAGAAGAATTCCTATCAGGACCCAATAACCTTTGACTAGAGTTCAAGTATTTATAGGGAGAACCTGTAGGAATTATGTGAGAAACCATCCATTAATGCTCAGTTTCTCCTGAAAACAGTTTTCATGACCTGTCCAATGACTTGACTGTCACCTTGATTGTCGCCATTGTTGTTTTTTATGAATATGAATTTTCGGTCAGGGGGCGTGGCAGGCATAAGCACAAGAGCAAGTGATGGCTTTGTAGACTAATGGTTCTATTCTTTGGTAAGCACACCGGAACATCTCCAGGCTTCAACAACACCATGACAATACAAGACACGTTTTGAGATATTAATCGCAAACTTAAAAACTTGACATTGACATTCTCACCTCAGTGATTTTAAAACCTTCAGTCCAGGAAGCCAGGCTCAGCTAATGATTTCAACCCAGAAACATCTAGACCTCCTGCAAAAGGAAGAAAAATACAAATACAAATGAAGGGTATTATGCGTGCAGATAAACACACTGCTGACTCGCATTAAGATGTTTGGAAATTGTTTGTCTAAAATTATACACACCCTCTCCCTGTTTAAGCTGATGTTTTTAGTAGCGAGCCAGTGAGCTCTCCTCTAATGCTTGCAAGGTGACGTACGGGTGGACAGTATCCCTGCATAACTCGCATGACTGGAGTTTTCTTGGATGCGTTCTTTCTTATTGACCCTTAGCTGTAGGTGGACCAGACTCGGGACTCCACCATGATGTTTTCATCTAACATGCCATAAAACACAGATGACTCCTAGAAACAAGAATTTACTTTCAGATGCCCACTTTGCTTCAAACACAGACATAGTGATTGAATGGAAAAATCTACTGAAATCTGCGAGCATGCCTATCTGCTTCTCTAAACAATCTTTATACATTAAAGCTGCTGCAAGAACGATGATGAAAAAGTTAGATTTGGCATCAAAACCCGGTCCAAGCTGCTCAGCCTGTTTAACTGTCACACTGTGATTTAATTCACTTTCCTGCTTATGGTTTATTACTCCAAAAGATGATATCATTTATTTCATTCCTTGACTGGCTGACAGCTGTATTTTCAAAAACTGCATTTCTGTGTTCAGATAAACAATCATTGACACCTGCATTTGTGCTTAAACACAAACAACCTAGCAGGGTAGTGATAGAATTGTTGCTTTCCTTAAGAAAGTATGGAGGTTAGCATATAGTATATGTTTAATGACATGCATTTATTCAGCTACATTCTGGAAAATTATGTGCATGTGCTCTGCATTCAGAGGCAAAGTGGCGACACAGAACCTTTCATAAAAGTGTTGAGAAGGTAACTAAGGAGAAACTTTGTAGGAGTCTCAGTGATTCACAGAGAAAAAATGGGTTTAATATAGTTGGAGATTTGCCTGAAAGTCTCTCAAAATACACCAAATGTCTGAAGTCTGGTGTTGTGCAAAAAGTCAGTGAAACATTTAAAACAGTATTTAAAGGAATGATAATTTTAAGATTAGCTGTTTTTTTTTTACAAAAATTACAAAATATATTTCTTTGATGCAAAGTAAAATAATACACCATTCCTCACAGGTCATTTTTTCAAGGATAATACACAAAACAAATGCTTAGTTGTATGTGTGTTGGATAAGTTTATGTTTATGTCATGGCTCCCACCAATGACGTCTATCTTTACACTTTGTGTCCTTCAGAATGGGAATCCTGAAGCCGAGGAGCTGATCTACAGCCATTATGTGATCTGTAATGACACCCACGAAACACTGCGGTTCGGTCAGGTGGACACAGACGAGAATGTGCTGCTGGACAGTCTGCACAGCCACCAGTACAGCTGGAGATCCCACAAGTCTCCTCAGGTAGTTTCACACAACACACATGGACCATGGTGACTGTTCTTCCTGTGATCAGACCTATCTTAATATGTTAAGGGATTTAAAAAAAAAAACATTGACACCAACATATAAAAAATAGTTTTTCACTTATTTATCATACATGTGCGGTTCTGTGCACTGGCTCACAGGTACATACTTTCATCTGACACCGTGTCATATGTATTCAGCACCGTCTGTGTTTCTGCTCTCGGACATTGCTCTGACAGCACTGTTAAGAAGATTGATTATATTTAACCCTTTGTGGTTTTGAGGTTGAACGGAGGGTGGGCTGGCGATCTGTGGCAAATGTGTGTGTGTGTGTGTGTGTGAATGTTGGAGTTTGTGTTTGCTGCACACATGTTTCAAGCTCCCATGTGTTCTACCAGTGTGAGATAGTCGAGCTTGAGAAAAGACATGGCCATAATTGCTCGCAGTAAGTCAGTAAGTCAAGTTGTATTAATCATAGCCCACAGTTAATCTGTGCACTTACCTCACTCCCACTTACAAACACACATGTGAATGCACCCACATGCACACACACAGGCACGAACTAACACTTTGATAGTGGCACTTTGGCACAGCAGCATAGCTCAAAGACCACATCCCATTTTAGCAGTAAGTCAAAATGACCTCCGTATTTTTGGAGATTTTCTGGAAGAAACATTTTCCAAACGGGCCAAATACCATCATAGATGAGGAATGCTATTCCAAGGCAGTTTTGTCATATGTTATTCTGTTATGTGTTTGTGGTATATGAAAAATGTGTTCTCAAGATGACCATGATTTGTGAAACTAGATAAATAAGAACCAGTACAGCATTGCCAAAAACATTTAGCTCAGTTAGTGAATTTGATGATAAAATGCCTGCCAATGTGTCCGCCTCAGTAAGTCGTAGCACACACTCCTAATCAGACTTTGGGGTTACGAAAATACTGACACTGATAAGAGAAAGCTTGTATTTCTTTAATCGTTACTTGGTCCACAAATGTGTTTTTGTAGCTTTTGCGAACCGGTTTTCAGGTGGAGTCAGAAATGCGTTTGCTGTTTTTCTAAAGTCCCTTGATGGCTTGGAGTGCCTGAAACAAACCTGATCATCAGGAGTCATAACTTTCCAGACCATCCCATTTTTCCAATCTTCTTTCCCTCTTTTTCCTTGCCTTCCACCTCAGATGCAGAACTCTTAACCCCCAACCCCTCACTGGGTTTTCAGTTTCTCTCATACTTTATCATGAAATCCATCCAAGACAAAGATAACTGTGAGGAAAGCCAAAAATTGGTCAAAGCCTTTATTTCATAAGGCATCTACTGTAGGTTTGTTATTGTTCCTATTTACAGAAACTACTTGAAGTGATTAAATTGAGCAGTAAAAACCATCTATAGTAGACTAAAACTTGCAGCTGAAGTGGCTGCAACAATAACTCACTCGCAGATAGTTTCTTAATCAGCACCATTGCAGGAAATAAGCTGATGTGATTGACAGGGAAGCTGTCATTAATATTGGAAGTGAATTGTGAAGGAGCTTCATTGCTGCTGCGGAGACAAGACAGGCAAAAAAACAGTTATTTGTGCAACACAACATCATGTAAGTCCAAAAACTTTAAATGACATCAAAACCTTTTTAACCTTTTTGGTAATACCTAACTGTCAAAAAATATATTTAAATTATTAGGTTTAAATGCACAATGCAGGCTCCTTAGATTGCCCAACGCATTTAAAAAAAAAAAAAAACACAATTGTATAACATCCTTAGTTAATGTATGGTTTCATTGGAATTGCACTTTTCTTTACGATTGTTAGCTACCTTGTCTGTATTCCCAATGTTCCCGTTCCTCAATTATACTATTCTGAAGAATGTTTTCCACGTCTATCAAGAGGTCAAACCTCAATCCTGTCCTCACAGCTATGGTATTATACCTGGGTCCCCACTGGCCTTTTGCCAGGTGCACATATGATATAAATATACGTTCTAATCAACCACAACCACAACAACAAATTAGCTGATTTGGAGAAATCTGTTCCCCTTTGCTCTCTGTGCCAGTGTGAACTCACTGGACTTTAGTTCATTTGAAAAAGAAGGAGTTTTTTAAGAATTCTGGAAGCTAAGATGAGGAAAGAATGCACAAAGAAATTTAATAGCAGGGTCATGACTCATGCACAGTTGTCAAGGGGGGGACACTGTACATGCCCTGCCATGCTCTTTAAATTTGCAGACAGGCTTAGTGGATACTACTGCCAAAAATGTGTCTGCTGCTATCTTTCTGTTCCTCCCACTTTTCTCTGTTTGTGATGAACCAGTAATTCAAAAGGGAGTAGAGATGGGTAGATTTGCCAATCGCGGTTTATTGTCATACATAAATCTTTTAATCCTGTCCTAATCCCTTCATTGTCCATTCATGGGTATTGATAGAAAGTGTCAGCACAGTGAAGAGGATGTAGCTTCACGAACAGACCTGCCGTTGTTCCACCACAAACCAAAACAGGGAGGAATATTTAAAATTCTACAGTCTCCAGTGTGTACTTTTGAGCGTTTTTGTGTGAGTGTGTAGTTCTTATTATGTGTGATCCTCACCAGCACCCTCACCAATGTACACTTCCCACAGTGTTGACATACCTCTGCATATCTGTCACTTCTCTCAGAAGAACACTCCAGCGGAGTGTTTTTGCAGTGAAACGTGAACCTGAGCTGGGGTCACACTCTCTCTCACTGCCTCTCTGTTTCAGCACCGTCTGCCTTCACACTCCCTCTGCCCTCCTGTTTCTGCTGTCAATTACCACCAAAAGATGCATTAAAGGGGCTGATTGAGGTAGTCACGTCCTCACAGCCTGCTGTCTCTTACACACCATCTAATTCATGACCAGAAGTGCACACTCAGACCCACAGATACACACTGCAATAAAATGTTTCCTCAGGCCTGGAGTCTGTCAGGGCTCTCTGTGTAGTGTTCTGGTCAGAGGAGAGCATGCCTTCACACCTTTGCTTCTACCAGCCAAGAAGAGAAATTTATTAGCACACATAATCTCTTATATGCAGAGCAGTAGATGGAGACATTAGTTTATAGACAGACTGTGTTTTCTTTCAAATTTGAAAAATTCTTATACAGTACATGGCATAACAGGGTACACAACCCAACAGGATATTACAAATAAATGTATCTTACTTTTAGAATAAACGTCAAATCACAAAGTTGTGTCATTGGTTGGATACAAATATACAAAATGATTTAAATGAAATTTAAACGAACCATAATTAAAATAATACGAGGTTAATCAGATTTTCTTTGTATTCCATTTTTTCAGTCAGTAATGGCACCAACTGAAACAGCAAGGTCAAAGGAAAAAACATCTTTGCACAACAATCAGACCAAAGCTTTACTGTTCAATTAAAGGTCTTCAACAAAATTAATTTAAAGAAATTGTCACCAGGACTGTACTCTTTTCCTCCCAGACACATCCAGGTCATCCACAGAGGTAGCACAAACTGAAGGGTGTCAGTTCCTGGGCCTGTGGATACATCTCCTACATGTCTTAAAGTTGTAGAGAGAAGACAAGTGGAGCCACAGACTGTTGAGCAGGAACACAGAAACAATGGGCTACTTTAATCTTAGACTTAAAATCTAATCAACAGAAAACAAGGACATGACACTGTTGGACATACCTGCGTCCACTGATCTACTAAAAGAAAGCACAACCTCAAAGTCAGGGTGTGACTGTAACATGTACTTTAAGAAGCATATCCAATATCCTAAGAAAATGTAAACATCTATACATGTATCTGACAAACACTCACTGTCCTCACCCTGCTCTGGTGTGTGGTGTGAGGTGGATGGTTGAAATATCTGGCTGCTCTGTACAGGATGTAGCCTGGCTGGTGGAAATCCCTGTGGTTTGTGTGGTTAGCAACCAGAGGGGTGTAAAAATCTTTGGATTTGGGTAGAACTTTATAAAAGTGCCTGCAAGAAACATTTATTATTCGAAGAAATTGCAATTCACTCCCAACGGCAGGCTTCCATGCAAAAGGCCCCACTCTCGCTTCCTAGATGTGTGACTCTGTGTACTGTTATGGGCGTGTGTGTGTGTGTGTCCGCGTGTGGCATTGGTCATTGAGCATCTGTGCATAAGTGTTTGTTGGTGTTTGTGTGTGTGATTCCCAGAGGTAATGTGCTGAAGATAGCAGTCCAGGACTATTAGTCTGTGGTTGAATTGGGCGAGTTGTTGGAAACACACATGACATTGAGGTATTTGTTTTGAGTGTAGGGGAGTAGTGGGGAAAACAGTTTTGTATCAGTGTGCTCAACGAGCTTGTTTTTAGGTGTGTGATGAGGCTGGACTGTGCCAGGGAGTGTACTGGTCAGGCAGTAGGTACTTTATTTGTCCACATATTATGGGTCCTTTTGAACAAGGCTGTGTTTAATTTTTATGCGTATAACCAAAAATATGCACATAAATAAAACAAAGTTTTTATTGCCTAAATGTATTAGCTGTTTTTCCCAGCAGAATTTAATATTACTCCATGAATCATTGTTCAAGAAACACTGCCCTCAAGTGAAGTGGTTTGTTTATGCTGTTCATCCAAGACTGCGGCTTCAACTGCAGTACATGAGGCTGACCCTTTGGGGATATTACTTCCAGTCAGGTTAACCCACACATTCACTAATCAGGCTGACAATAGGAAGCCAATGAAAGGAACCGCTGTCCAGTTGGATCTCTGGAGAAAACCTACACTTTCCTGTTATTTATCTTCTGAACTGGACTGAGTCCATGAGGGATTCACATCATTTCAGGCATAGTTTTAGGGTAACAGAGGGTTAAAGAGAATGGTGAAAAAACAGTGTGATGGTAAACAGAGTGTCTTCAGGGAAACATAAAATATTGGCGTTGGCCATTTCTTCTTGATGATGCGTGGAATCTGGACAAGGGTCAGCTTGGAGAACCAGAAACTACTGATACAATAAAAACACGCAATGAGTCATCAATAACAGAAAAAA